TTATTAAACTTAAATTAAATTATAATAAAAAAATAAATTAAAGAAATTACATAAAAAATAAAACTTTTAAATAGTTGATTTGATATTAAAATTAATATAATTTTTTTCAAAATTTTATGATATCTTCAAATTTATATTTTATTCAAAAATAAAATCATTATTGTTTTCTTTAAAACGCATAAAATCGTATTATAATATCGACAAAGACAAAATAAAGTAGAACATTAAAATCGAGATGTATTCTCGTTGCATTGCGCAAGTACTCTTCTAGTACTACTCAAAAGCAGTGACATTTGCAACAAAAGTGAAGCGAGTCGTGGTAGCCTATTGACTGCCTCATACCGGGTAAGAGGTGCTTAACTAGTAAAAACTAAGAACGAATGTTGTTTACCAACACATTCCGACACACAACATGTTGACTAAAATGCTAACTCAGTAAGCAAAGCGTTATTTTCTTACTTGGTCAATTCTTCAGTTAGTGCTTACATAGACATTTGTCAAACAACGAGTTTTCAGTCAATGTAAATTATATTTTTATTTTTAAATTAAACTCTAATTTAAAAAAAATATTAATCAATAATTCGACATTGAATCTCGAGTCTTGTATTTGTCATGGTACATGGTTTAACGCGTTACACGACACGATCATAATTCTCAACAACAAAATAATTGTTAGTGGTTTCATCCGGTGTTTTAAATAAGGGTGTAAATGAATCGAACGTTCAACGAATTGTTAGGCGGGAAGTTCTTTTATGTTCATTTATTTAATAAATGAACGAATATGAATAGTTTTTTTTGTTCGTTTAGTTAAACAAACGAATGGACATGAACAAGAGTCTCGTTCGTTCATTTATGTTTATGCACATTCATTCATTTACGTTCGTTTATATATTAAATTTAATATATATATATATATATAATCTTTTATTTATTTAGTTTGAATTCAAATAATATTTATTTAAGTTTTAACTTTTTAGACTTGTTCGTTTACATTTGTTTAATATGTTAACGAATGAACATAAACGAACACGAACACACATGATTTCTAAACGAACGAACACGAACACAAAGATTTTCGTTCATTTACTGTTCGTATTCGTTCGTTTGTTCGGTTAAGTTAAACGAACGAACATAAGCAGACATCTATTCGTTCGATTCGTTTACAACCCAAGTTTCAAAGCGGATTTCTTTTTTTCACCACTATTGGGAAGGAGTGGTTTATGCTTATGTTTGGGTTCTCCTTATGAACCGCTTCATCTCTTCGAATGTGTATATTTTATTATTTATAAATAACATTTATTTATGAGTAAATTACATTTTTCGTCCCCGTGGTTTGTTATAAACAGTGGATTTCGTCCCTGTGGTTTTAAACTTTCGATTTTCATCCATGTGGTTTGAAATTAATTTCCATTTTAGTCCCTGAGGCCGAAACAAACACATTAATCAGATCAAATATAAAGAAGCTATCTAGTACATATAACAAAGCAACCGGTACAAATCTCGAAGCTTTAGAAAACAAAAACCCGCTCCACCTTAATATTCTCATCTTCATCGTCCGAATTATGGGACTCTCGGTCCACCATCTCCGACTTCACAATCAGCTAGTACTTTTAGTGATCGTTTATCCACTGTTAATCAAGTAAGTGCTTACCAGGTAAGATTCTTAACCATCAAAGTAACATAGGAAGGTCGTTGATAAACGTCTTTTACGATGTAAATACTAAATAGAAGAGTAACCACCACATTTAACAGGTAAGATTTTCAGTCATTTAACAGGTAACATTTAACAGGTAAGATTCTCATTACTTGTCATGTTCACCCGGTATGAATAAAGTTAAAACCATATACATGACAACTAGGATTCGATTGCTGTCAGAAAACAAAAGATAAAAAAGGGAATTCATATTGTATGAACTGGTTTTTTAGTGGATATACACATAGTACCAGATAATAAAAGGGTTTATGTACAAAGAACATACAAACCCTTGATGCGTTACAGTACGATCTATAAAACAATTGATACTGTTTCATTCCTCAACTAAATGAGGACTGCTTATAAAGTCCAATTCGTTCCTTCATATTTATATATTTTTTATTTAATATTGTGTAACCCAAAGCGCATTCCTTTAGGGTTTAGGGCGCTTACCTAGCCAACGCTTTGGTCCGACTCTGCTATATATTAAATACACATATAAGGTATTATTAGAGGCACGTATCCGACCTGACGGATAAAATTTCCATCATTACAGGACTGTTTACTAAACACTTACCCGATAAGTTTTTACCGGGTCAAATTATCTTATCGGATGAATATGAAAGAGTTGAGAGTCTTATCAAACGACCCCTGCATGTGAATTCTACAGTTTTAATCCGTATGATTTGTCAATTCATTGCAATTTTCATCATGAATATCATACGGAAATAACAATATAAAATGTAAAACATATGAAAAAATAATAACAAATTGTAATTTATAAAGATAAAAACAACAATAAATTATAAATCATTGGAACGGAAACATCAATTTTGAAAAAACCAGAGGGACTAAAAACGTAATTTACTCTAAAAATAATTCAAAGAGTTAACTCGTCGAGTATCCCGAGCTGTTTCTCATTTCCCCCCCATTTTCTCTTCCTCCAATTCTCTCGATTCCCATTTTCCCTAATTTCAACTCCTTTTACCGGCACTAATAATCTGCCAATTTCCATTTCTTTTCAGGGAATTAGGGTTTCTGATTGGTACTAACGTTCAATTCTCACAGAATTACTATACAAGTTTCATCAATTTCGTGTTAACATTTGGGAGTTTCGAATTTCTTTTCTCCTGGAAGTAAATGCTAAATCATTTCATGAGAATTTTACCTACGGAAAAGAAATCCCCCTGGTTTGATCAGGGGTTGCGTTAGTTCAATAACAATATTGTGTGTTTGAGGTGCATGATCATCGGATCAGACAGCTGCAACTGTGTTGCGACATTGTCGAAATCTATCGATTCGACGAGAACAGCAAATGCGACCTGGACGGTTAAATCTGAGAGGGTTAGGGTTTCGGTTTCGGAATTGGTGCAAATTTTGAATGGGAAATAATTGCGTCGGACCCAATATGGGGCGTACTGGCTTCTTACAATCTGTTACAGCCGCGGTCTGGAAAAACCGGCCAGCGGAGAACACTCTTCCGCCTCCCGATTCATCCAACCAGAACAAGAACAACACGAATAATAACAACGCCAATGAGAATAAAACAGATGATCCGAGTTCTAAGGGATCTGAAAAGCCACGTTCTGTGCAAAATACCCCACCGGATACTGTTAAAATGTCAGGGCAGGAGGCGGCTAAACCGGCAGAAAAAGCCAAGGCAGCGGAGGCTAAGGGTCAGGAAAAGCCAAAGGCAGCAAATAATTTTAAACGGATGGCGAGTGCAGGACTTCAAGCTAATTCGGTATTGCAGAGGAAAACAGGCAATTTGAAGGATGTTTATAGTGTGGGTAAGAAACTAGGACAAGGTCAATTTGGGACAACGTTTTTATGTGTAGAGAAGGAAACAGGAAAGGAATTTGCTTGTAAATCAATAGCAAAGAGGAAGTTGACAACGAAGGAGGATGTAGAGGATGTTAGGAGGGAGATACAGATAATGCATCACTTGGCAGGGCACCCGCATGTGATATCGATTGTGGGTGCTTATGAGGATGCTGTGGCTGTTCATGTTATTATGGAGCTTTGTGCAGGTGGGGAGCTATTTGACAGGATTATACAAAGAGGGCATTATACAGAAAAGAAAGCTGCTGAGCTTGCTAGGACAATAGTTGGGGTTGTGGAATCATGCCACTCTTTAGGGGTTATGCATAGAGACTTGAAGCCCGAAAATTTTCTATTTATTAACGAGCAAGAGGAGGCACCCCTTAAAACTATTGACTTTGGGCTTTCTATGTTCTTTAAGCCAGGTATTCCCTTGAGTGTTTGTATAATATCTGATTGGATGATTTTAAGAATTATGTGGAATGATGTAACAAAGTTGATTATAGGTCAGAGATGGACCTAGAAATTTTTCCAAATGGTGGCACCATTTGATTGTAAGAAACAAATATATGGATATGTTCAAGACCCTTATTGCAACTTTTTTTTCAGAATAATAATAAATCTGAAATTAAAAAGCTAAAAACTAAGAAAATGACTGTGGACTCGAACTCGGGTCTGGGGTGGAAGAAAAGCCTTGCAAACCAACTCTACCAAGGGAAACTTGTGTCTTCATTGTAATTTCAAAATATATACGGTGACAAACAACAAATTGATACGGTGGGTACTTTTCACAACCCAATAATATTTTACACTAAGACGGATGAACAAAGCGGCGGCCTGTGCCATCGTATCCAATGGAGTAGGTCTGCTCCTGTTATAGGCGACTGTAACAACCCCCTAGAAAAGAGCAGAAGTCTACATATAGTCAGTAAAATTTTGGGTGGGTTAATTTCAAGTCAGACAAAAATAGGATAATCAGCTTATAATTAGCCAGCTTGAAGGTGGACATGATTTTTCAAAAGTGATTGCTATAAGCCTAAATGTCCGATGCTTCCTCTGATACTTCATGGTTCTTCATCTTCCGGCTGAAATGAAAATTGAAGCAAAGTGCTATCTGACAACCGGTTTTTGGTCAAACCACTTCCACAACAAAACTTAAGCATGCTAATGTAGCTTTCTTTCAACTCTTTCTTGTGTTGCAGTATGCTTGTTTAGACTTTAATGGTTTCTTAGCTTTAACATTACAGGAGTTCACTTAGCATGCCTATCATTTGGATTGATTATAGCAAGTCATGTCTTGTAAAGCAACAATGAAGGTACTAGGGAGGCTACTGCAGATCATATGATTGAGCGAGTCCATTTAGGTGACTGGGTTGAGTTAAGTCATCAGCATCAGTTCTCTGTCTGTATACACAGAACTCTGTGAAGCATTTAAGTAACAAAAAATCTAATTGATCCAAGGTTAAAACTGTACAAAATTCCATAAGAATCATGCTTTTGAACAAAATGAAGTGGAATTATTGGAGTAAAGCCCTCCAATTTCAATAGATTACTAATTCAATCCAAGTAAATATCTATCTGTGCTTCTGACTTTGTGGTTGGCAGTTGTTATTGAATGTGGTAATAACAATCTTCTTCCCAGGAGGTCTCAGGTTCAAATCCAAGGAGTAATAAAAATCCCCTTGTGGCCATGGAGGTTCTAATGCAGTGACTCCAGGCTATCTGCAAAGCAGGTGGTCGCCCTGGGATTAGTCGGCTCGCATAGCGGGTTGGATATCCAGGTTAATCAAAAAAAAAAATCTTCTCCCCTTATGACCCTACTGTCATTTCGTGACTCTTTGGAGATTTAGGTTCCCATTTTCTCTTTGCTACCTGTCAAATTTTCTTAGTTTATTTGATTCCTTCATGTGGTTCCATCGCTTTTCAGCTCCTCTGCTACATTGTTACCTAACCTTCGCCTCCATTCGTTTTATTTCTTCAATCTAATCTTTTATTGCTGGTTCTCTTTCCCCTTTTGTGAACTTGTTTTGTTTGGTTGGCTATGACAGGTTGCCTATTCCTAAGTAAGGGTGGTAGAACTCATATTCATTTTCATGGTGGGATGCTTTCCTTGTGTGATAAATTGAGACCATAGAGTCTCCTATTCTGATAGCGTTAGAATGTTTTGACTGTTGGTATTTTAAGCTTAGGATCATTTAAAACTTTCTTTTGTAGTTTATTGGTATAGTCTGGATTTATTTCTTCTTTCTCCATGTCACATCACATTTATTCATGCGAGCTGTTGCGAGCCAAGTGCTTATAGAGCTTTTATTAGATAAAGCAGTCGCTGCGGGTCAAATGTGGGGCTTCCTGAAGTGTAGTAATAGTTCTGAGTTGTTGATGATGAGGTTTTATGAATACGTGCTTTGAATTCTTAAACATTGCTGTTAAAGCTATAAATTCTGACAACTTGGGTGTTCTAGGATCATCTCTTCATCAAGATTGATACAATGAGTTTGGGCTCCTCAATGTTCAATTTGAGACTGCTCGTTCTTTTGCTTGCTTAGTAGTCCATGTGTTGTTTTCAGTTCCCAGCAGTTGATTATTCTGGAGAGTCTATAGGAGCTGATGAGAGTTTTGGATACATTGGTATTTCTATTGGGTAGATTTGGAATCCATGGCTTATCTCGCCACCTTTATCTGTTTTAAGACATAATTTGCAACGTTAAGGTTTTACAAGTATGCACATGTGAATGAGATGCTAGGAAAGCTTCTGTTCATGATAGATTCCTTGAGAGCGTGAGAGCTGCACCAAGTTTATTGCTTTTTCTGATATTACTGTATGCTGCATTCTTCTCCATATAGCTGCAAAGAGTAGGATTCCAACCAAACTGAACCGATGTCTGTTAACTGTATTCATTCAGGTGAGATGTTCACTGATATGGTCGGGAGCCCTTATTACGTGGCCCCAGAGGTGTTGCGGAAATTTTACAGCCAAGAATGTGATATTTGGAGTGCTGGCGTTATCATATATATTTTACTAAGTGGGGTCCCACCATTCTGGGATGGTGAGGACTTTATCATTTTCTGCTTTGTTGTTTTTACAGCTCTTCATGACGATACAATTTTTAAGTTGCATTTACTTTTTTGTTGTTGAATTGTGATCTGAATCAGAAACGGAACAAGGAATATTTGAGCAGGTGTTGAAAGGTGATCTTGACTTTGCATCAGAACCATGGCCTAGCATATCTGAAAGTGCAAAAGATTTGGTAAGAAGAATGCTCGTGCGAGATCCCAAAAGGAGGCTGACAGCACCTGAAGTTCTTCGTGAGTATAAATCCCTACCAATTTAAAAGCAATACTAATTTTTGTTATCTAAGGGCCTGTTAGCAGCTTAATGAGCTTAACGGGACTCGCAACTTATTTGGTCCACTATACATGACTGTTTTTTAGTGGTTTAATGATATAGAAAGTGGATTATTCAGTAAGCTTCTAGGAGGGAACTTTGTGCAGAAAGCCAAGTTTTTTTCAAACCTGCGTCTTCCAATTAAAAAATATGCTCCTTCCATATATGAAAAAACCCTCCCAAAAAAAAACCTTCGCAATCTATACGGACAGGTTAATCCACACAAACAACTTTATTTATACAGGATTTAATGGAAAACCATCTCAGTAGCCCCTAAATATTATTACTATGATTATTAATATAGAGTATGTTTTCTACATAATTAATGATGTATTTTTTTCAACAAGTGGCTCTTAAAGGATAGCATGCATCTATTCAGTATTTAATTTATTAAATGTGATTCCTTAGTCAATTCATTCATGGCAGTTATCAAGTCTTGAAAGCCTCTTGTGTGAAAAAAAATTGTACACAATGTGATAAAAGTTCATAATAATAAATAGAGAAACTTTTGAACACATTATCATTTGCAAGAAGTTTTTTACACGGGCTGTTTTAAAAACTTGACAAGTGTCCATTTATGGATTGATTGACGAAGATGTCAGGTGTTTGGAACTGCTTGTGTAAAAAAAATTACACTGTTCGAAATTTGAATTGAACTCATAGTATCAATACAGTTATAATTATCATTATTGTTGATAAAAATAAGCACAGTAATTCATTCTGCCAAATACAGAAAATAAGGGTGGGTTTGGTTTCATGATTTTGAAGGAATTGGAATGGATAATTCCTTTGACCAAATTCCAAATCCTAGGTTTGGTTCACATAATGAAAATGTAAGAATCCTTTGAATTCCATTGGGTTCCACAAATTAAAGAATTCATCATTCCTTGGCGTAAGCGAAGGAATTGAATTCCATCTCTTTGTATCCTATTTAACCAACATCGCCCACCCCTGCCCCAACCACGATCATGCTACTACCATCACGCCCCCACCCTTACCCCCCACTACCAAACCACTATTGTTGTCGTCACAACCGCCACCCACCCCCATCCAACCCCAACCCCAACCCACCAATGACCACCATGCCACTATTGTTGCCGTCAAAGCTACCACCCCAACCCCACTGACCACCATGCCACTTCTATTGTCGTCATAGCTACCACCCACCCCCAACCCTCCCCTCCGCACCCCATTCCACCGACCACCATGCTACTATTGTCATCGTCAGAGACTCACAACTAGATGACGCCCCCTTCCCCAACCACCAATACCACCACCCTCCCTCCCGCCCCACCCCACTGACCACCATGCCACTATTGTCGTCGTAACAGCTACCACCCCCACCTCGCCCCTGCCTTACACACGCCCCCTAAGATGCATAGGTATGGGATTGGAGCAAACACAAATAATATACGATATGCAATTCTAAGACATATAACGAAGACTCTCGCATGTAATATAGCTCCATCTACCAGCACTTCTCAATTAGAAAACGTAACTCAGTCGTTCTAAACTTGATAAGCAAAATATGGATAAAGTTCTCAAAATAGATAATAGTAGAGTCAGTCGCAAAAATAGTCCTAACTTATTTCTGAACTTGCAGTTTACAAGAAAGGAAACCTAAACACATTCCATCTCTTAACATTATTGTCGTGGAGTTCTTGTTCTTCAGTTGTGCACATTTTGCTCTATACCTGTATTATTTTCATCTAAAAGTTCAAATAATCATGCATTGTCTTTTTATTGATCATGCTTGCTTCAGATGACTCTCAAATAATGGTCTTTTTAATTTTATTGAATTTATTTTCTTCCGCTTCTCCAATTCTATCCTTACCATCATTTTCTCTTTTAGGCCACCCTTGGGTTCAGGCTGATGGTGTGGCTCCAGATAAGCCTCTTGATTCTGCTGTTCTTTCCCGACTGAAGCAATTCTCTGCCATGAACAAAATCAAGAAGATAGCCATCAGAGTAAGTTTGTAACTATTTTCTCTTTAGGTTTCTTTAACAATAAATCATGGCGTGTGCCGCGTGTTATAATAATAGTTTTTGAATATTATTAGTTGTTTTCGCATTATGATTGAACACCTTCTTGTCTGATTTCAGGTTATTGCCGAGAACCTATCTGAAGAGGAAATTGCAGGACTTAAAGAAATGTTCAAGATGATAGATGCTGATGGTAGTGGCCAGATCACATTAGAGGAACTAAAGAAAGGCTTGGAGAAAGTGGGTGCCGATTTGAAGGATTCAGAAATTGTTCGCCTGATGGAAGCGGTAATTTATGTCTACAATTTCATTTATTCCAAGTAGTATACATGATTTGAAGTACCTTTTTATGGTAGAGGTCATGTCTACATACATCTCCCCCCCCCCCCCCCCAAAAATAAAAAAAGAACCCACTGTCCTGTAGGATATACTGGGCTCCTTTGGTTTGGCTTGGCTTGGCTTGGCTTTGCATGTAGCCCGTCAGTTAGGGTGCGTGGGACACCGGACATAACAGAATAGGGATCACTGTTCTATGTTTGGCAGGACTTTTATATGGAACAAAGTGGAACAGGCGTGTTCCACCCCCACCCCATGGAACAAGGGTGAAACTATATTTTACCAATATAACCTCAAAATAAAACATAACTCTCTTCTAAAACATCAAATACACCTTCCTCTTTACATTTTATTCATTCTTTAAATTTTATTATTGTACTTTATGCTCTTTAAACTTTCACTTTAATGTCTTCAAAATATTATTTCAATACGGTTTCTATATTTTGGTTAATTTATGTAATTTATTAAATATTAATAATAATAAAATATATTAGAAACTGCATAAACCTTTTATTTTGTTGTCATCTTAATCGTCTTAATGAAAACTTTCTAATGATATATTTTGTTATTAAAACATTTATTTTATTATAATTTAATACCCTACATAAATTAATCAAATTATATAAACAACTCATTAGGGGTAAATTGCTCTTTTTATCTGTTCCGTTCTGTCCAATTCTGTCTTACCAAGCGCTATCCTGTCTTGCGTGTGTCAGGATACCAAACACACCCTTAGTGAAATGGTTACACTATCTCCTTTGTGGCATTATACCCAACTCCATTTTCACAGCCATTTGTTATCTTACATCCATTTTATCTCATTTTGATCACACGTATTCACTCGAATGTTTCAGGCCGATATCGATAACAGTGGTACCATAGACTATGGGGAGTTTGTTGCAGCCATGCTCCATATAAATAAAATCCATAAGGAGGATCATATGTATGCTGCTTTCTCTTATTTTGACAAAGATGGCAGTGGATACATCACTGCAGATGAGCTCCAACAGGCATGTGAGCAATTCGGTTTGGGTGATATACACCTCGATGAAGTAATGCGTGACATCGATAAGGATAACGTACATCTTTAATCTCATAATCTCGTATTCTTATCCTATCCAAATTAGACAAGTCCGATTCTCTTACAAGCTTGTTTTATTTCAGGATGGGAGGATAGATTACAGTGAATTTGTGGCAATGATGAAAGAGGGCGAGTTTGGGAAGCATACCAAAAGCATTCGGTTAAGGTAAAACGGTAATTCTTGATCACCCATAGTTTTTTCTTTTAAAAGAATTCAAACGATTAGCGAGTCATTATCCTTGTAAAGATACATCAGGCACCGCGGTTCTGATAGCCTGTTATGTCATTCTTTCAATTTTCGGGCTATCAATATTATTCATGATTTCTAACAAAACTCAAGGTCCGGTTTGGCCAAAATACCCCTTTCTTTTCGTGTAGAATCCCGAGGGGATCATGATATGTGTCCATGTATTCATGTTCACATATCTGAAAACCGAAGTTAGACCATGATTCAACCATTCTTTCAAAATTCAATCTACCCCGTACATCGAGTCGATCTCACCAAGCAACACAATGGGGAGTCGGGGATTAGAATCAATATTTTCGAAGTGCATTTGGTGTTGTTTTAGCAAGTTGATGCTTAAAAGCTTATCCACAAACCCTACCTTTGTGCGGAATTTACTGAATTTGTCTGGTTCGATCTGGTTTATGTTTAAAAGCTATTTCTTTCGTGTATAGATAGATGTCTATGTGAGATTTACTGGTTTTGTTTAGTTTATGCTAAAAAACGGGTATTGAAATCTATACTTTCAAAGTGCATTTGGTGGTGTTTTAGCAAGTTTATTCTTGAACACTTGTTCTCATACCCTACTTTTGTATGAGATTTACTGGGTTTGTTTGGTTTGATCTGATTTATGCTTAAAAGCTATTTCTTTCGTGTATAGATAGATGTCTTGATTTCTAGGTAATGTGATAACGACATTCAACTTCACTTTATGCCATCTCGTATCAATGCAACAAGTCCTTTATTTGTTTGACTCTTAATCGAGAGTGTGAATATCACTTTTTTAAACGCGTTTATCTGAACAGAACGTATCATAATCGCTACTACATATCGTAACAGTTGGAACACACACTTGTCTGAGCTGCATTTGCTATACATCATACATATCCATCAATGTGCATTCTTTTGGTCACATGAAAAGTGTTGTATTGCTTCACATGATGACATCTTTCCCCCACAAAAGAATTCTAAGATATGGATCAAGCAAAAACACAGTAAATCGTATCGGGTTGACTAATTTTCTAGTTTTGGCTCTCGAGCAAGAACGAGAAACAGGCGTAAACTAATGCAATGTTTAATTGGATTTCGTAATTGAATTTTCTTATCGTTAAAAATGTTATGTTTTATGTTAGACGTGGAAGTAATAATGTGTAGGTATGGCAATGGGGTGGGGACCTCAATACTTGTCCCCGATCTGCCATCTTTGCCCCCATCCCCGTAGGAAATTTGATCACATCCCCAACCCAAAATGTTATCGTCTAAAGTGATCCCAAAAGATTATACAAACCCGATATACAGAAGTTGATCTTAGGTTCTTTTTACTTCCAATGATATCTTGATCTCTCAAACCATCCTTGGAGTGGAACCTGAACCTGAACCTGCCGAAATTGCCTCGGCTGAGCAAAATCGCTCAATGGACGGATAATGTTCACAACGGTGTGAACATAATATAAGTTCAGATAAAAGTTAGCGTAAAACAATTGTAGTGATATCATTTTGAACATGAATAAAAAATGTTGAAATCATTTTTAAAAATGAATAAGTCATCCGTATTGCAATAATATGTGGTCTAATCGGATGAGCAATCCAATCAGACTTGGAATGTTAATGTTAATCTAAAAAATTAATGTCACGTGTAACAAAACATATCGAGTAATATCCAAAATATATTGGAATAAAAACTACCATTTATTGACTTTATAGAAATAATAATATATAATATAATTTATTAATTAATATATATATACAGGTATGGGGCGGGGCGGGGAGGTGAGTGCAATACCATCCCCGAGACCCGATTTTAATGGTGACAATAGTAAGGGGGTAGGGTGGGTGACGACTATGACGGCGAAAAATTGGTTAAATTGAATGGAACGATTATTTTTTTGTTTTCTTAAATGAAATTATAAAATATGTTACATTTCGAAACTTAATTCATTCGTTTCTCTAAAAAAAATGATGAAATTATTAAATTATACAATTCAAAAGAATTTAAAAAACAAAAAAAAATTAAATTGGAATTTAATCAAAATAATTGAGCATGCTACAATCCTTAAATTCCATAGATTTCATGAACCAAACAAAGCCTAAAATTAACAAGATTTTGGACAAAACATAACCACATGATGATTATATGTATCATCTAAAACAATATCTATAATTCATTAAATGGGTGGCTTACAATTTTATTTTAAATTAATATTTCCTTTCTTTTAATTGAAAATAAATAAAATATAATATTTACCAAATCATGTACAGAACACATGTAATTTTACATTAACGATCTATACAAATGGCTGCAGTCGATGTTGGGTTGCACTTAAAGCTGTGTGAAATACATGTGATGTTAGCATAAGATCACATGTGATTTAAACATTTTTTATTCTTTTATATATATATATATATATATATATATATATATATATATATAGGGGAACGTTCAAATAAAAATCACCCAATTCGTATAAACTGTGAAAACCACATTCAACCAATCATAATTATTTTATTTTGTTCATAATTATTTTATTTTGTAATTATGAAAGATTGATTAACCATTTTTATTGTGAATGATGTTAATCATTGATATTATCGTCTTCATTATTTTAATTTTAGAAAATACATGAAACAGTTTTATTAAAATTTCATTAAATATTATATGAAACAATTTCATAACCATATATGAAAGAAATTCATAAAAAAAGTATTATATGAAACAATTTCACAAGATTAAACAGTTTCATGAAAAATTTCATAAAATTAAACAATAAAATGGACGTATGAAGGTGGTTTGTACGATTTACACAAACGATGACGGTTTTCATTCGATGGCTCATATATATATATATATATATATATATATATATATATATGAAAGAAAGAAAGGAGGACAGTTGTTGTTGATGATGTATAAAGGGGATGATGAGGTAATGCACATGAGTCATGACACCTTACCTAACACACCAATCAATCATCCACTCTTATTATGCTTTTAAACAAAATCCACCTTTTTCTATTTTTCATTTTTTTAAATTAAAATCTCAACTAATATCTTCTTTAAAATGTAAATATTCTATTCACAAAATCAACGACCCTTTCGAAATCATCCAAAAAAAACCAAAATTACTGAGAATTATGACACGTAAAGTGGTGAGTGGGTCCACAGAAGCAGAGTGAGTCATCGTAAGATGATTGGAGGCAACAACAAGAAAAACGTATGGTATGTAAAGCGTACATTAACGATTATGTGTAGTGAAATGGCAGAAGTCAACTAGTAAACATCTCTAACGAGAAAAACGACAAATAAACGTAGGATACTCAAAGAGTCCGTTAAGCATTCGTAAATATTCGATTTTACTAAATACATATTTCATTATTTTTACGACAACTAGAAAACTGTAACATTTATTTATGAGTATCGATCTTTTAATGTAAAATTATTTTGTATCCCCGATAAACTACTTGCGTTTTTTTTTTACAATTTTGATTTTTGTATACAAAATGTTTAAAAAATATAAACTCATAGATCCTTGTTTATTGTCTTGTTGATAGCGATTATGTGGATGGATTTGATATTTGATAGTTAAAGAAGTGATCATAGCCTTTCATCTAGTCAATATTTGAGGCTTTGACGCTGAATCACTAGATAATTCTTTGCATGGTTATGCGAAAAATAGAGGAGTAGTTTCGTAACTTTTACAAGTAGGCGGCAAACGGATTCATATATGAACCTACAAGTTCATATATGAATCACACATATTCAAATATGAATCAGGTAATTAGTTCATATGTAAATCACACAGGTGCATATATGAATCGGTTAACTAGTTCATATGTGAATCTCACGAGTGCATATGTAAATCAGTTAAAATAGTTCATATGTGAATTACACGAGTTCACATATGAACATATAGTTCATATATGAACATATAGTTCATATATGAACCCGTCTACCACCTATTTGTAAAAGTTACGAAACTACCATATCTATTTTTGGCATAATCGTAATTTTAGATCAGTCAAAGCTGCAATTATTGATCAGTCAAATCCAATCATGATCGTATGAATAACTAGAATCACTTCCTTACTTCTCAAATATTTATCACTTCTCAAAATAACTTTTAGCTATACACACATGACGATATCAAAATAATTGAAACAAGATATTATTATATGATTTGATTTGTTTAAATTTTTAAAAAAATATTATTTATTTCAATGATAGAAAAAATATGGTTTTATAGTTTTAATGTAATTTAAATTTAAATTATAGAAACATATCTTATTTTATTTATTTAGAGCGAATAAAATAAGAAATAGTTTTATTATTTGATTTGTTTAAATTTAAAAACTTAATCATGTTAAAAACGATTTAGTTTTATTGTTCTTTTTCTATCAGTGCAATAAACAAGCTTATTATCGATATTTTAACACCAAAATCATTGAAAATCACTAAGAAATGAAATCCAATTTTATCATCCTAAAATTAGGGTTTCCAATTTTCATATTGCTTTTCATTCAAAAACTCAAAATCAACTGTTTAGATTTTAACCAAATAAAAGGTTCATATATCATATTATCTTTGTAAGGTAAGTGATAATGTTGAATTTAACTGGTAAGCGTTTATCGGTAAATGTTTAGGAAAACGACTCTTTAATGTTGTTTACTCAAACGTTTACCCGATAAGCGCTTACTGGTAAGAGTCAACATTATAACTTACTTTATCAGGTAAGATTGTAGTCCATTAAAACAGTATCATATATAACAATTTACCTGATAAATATTTATTGGAGTTGTCACCCTTCTAACTGGATAGATATTTAGTAAACAATTTCTCACTTTTAAAAATAAACATTTATTTTAAATTAAATTAAACTAAAATAGTAATATAAATTATTTTTAGTTAACGAAAATAATTTAAAATCATGGTTTTGGTTTGGAGGGAGGAGTATCAAAGATACTGAGTGGGGACATGGGCGGTTCCTGCACGATCCTTCACAGGCCGTACACGTGTTGAG